GCATAACAAAATTTATAAGAATAAAATCAAAACCAATTTAGTGGATTTGATTGGTTTGGTTATTGTACAAGTCCGATCCAACCTTATAGCTATCTGTATGGGGCTCACCCAGGGATGGCAATTTTCCTCATCCCCGAAGAGGACTCGACTTCCCCGATTCGATGGGGTTAGGGATGGGGATTGCTTTGGCGAGACAGGGACAAGGATGGAGATTAATAGGAATTTCCGGTCGGGGATGGGGATTGAGGTCCCTCTCTCGCCCTAACCCCGATTATGTATATATATATATATATATATATATATATATGATATATATTATTATATATAAATGTTACTTATATTTTAAATTTTTTATTTATTTTAAATAAATTTATTTTTCAAAAAATACTATTAACTAAAAACGTTTCAGGGATTCGGGTTCTCGTGGGGAACCCATCCCCGTTGGGGATCAGGGATGAAGGACAACTTTTATCCTTGACGAGGATCGGGGTTAGGGATGGGGAATATGATCCCCGCCTTGTTGCCATTCCTCTCACCTCAAAAAAACACCCTTCAGTTAATCAAAAACAAAAAAGCAAAAAAGAAAAACAAAAGAAAGCCCTCCTACCTCCCATACTTATTAATTAAAAAGAAAAGATAATCATATGGTCATACCAAGCCTCTCTATTGATGGCTCACTTTTCGTTTTGGACTTATCCGTGAAATGATGCTAGACCGCTCTCTGGGTGGGCCAATGGATGGAAATGGGGCGGGTTCAAAGAGGGTTTTGTAAATTCTAGACCTTACCCGCCTCCCTAAACCTCCCAATCCGTACCTGCCCCAAAATCCATAGCGGGCTGGATTTTGAGAATCCAAACCCTCCCCGGCCCTACCCTCCTAGCATTTAAGGGCATGGGCATATTAGGTTTAAAACTTGTATCTAATTTCCTATTATTTCTTGTCATATATAAACAATAAATAAATAAAATAATACAAATTAATATGAAGATTTCTAATTATTTGATTAAGACTCGTAAAAAATACATAAACTAACAATTATCCTTCACATAAAATTCAAAATATTATTAAATTCAACATCTAATACATAAAATTTGTATACGTTTCCAACAATATACGAGTCAAAAAAGATTAGATTTAGACTAATACTATACCATACCCATACAGCTTGTGTAGAATCTCGAAACCCGTACCCACCCAAAAACCTCACCCCATCAAGCTGTACAAGATAGGGTCAAGTCCCAGCACGTGTGGGATCCCACATCATGATTGATGAGTTTCCACTCTCGTTTTAAATGATGGCATGCGCGTGCTTTCTTGAATAACTGCTCAGCTTCTCAAGATAGGGTCAAGTCCCAGCACGTGTGGGATCCCACATCATGATTGATGAGTTTCCACTCTCGTTTTAAATGATGGCATGCGCGTGCTTTCTTGAATAACTGCTCAGCTTCTCATCTATCTTTTATTCAATCGGATGGTCAACTACGACCGAAAAGAAAGGCGTAACCAATTGACAATGTATTATTTCTAGAAATCACTTGGGGCAACAGGCCACTGATGGGCCTTTACCTCTAGGAAGCGTTATTTCTCATCAAGCATGCGTTTCTTGTCTTAAATCAATTTCAATTAAACAGTTAATAATCGTATTTTTCTTTCCATCTTTGTTTATATAAACAGGTTTAGTTTGGAAAAAGCGTACAAATATAAATACCAACAATGCAAAATCTTGTAATTGATATTTCTTAATCTTGTATTTGCAATTTGCAATTTGCATTGTATATGTTTATATTTATACTCTTCTCAAACTGATCCTAAGACTGTATTTAGTTGCAATGCAAATAAATTTGCACTGTTACAAAACTTTGGCAGTGCAAATGATTTGAGTGTAAATCCCGACTTATTTTTGTTTCAAATTTTAGTTTATTTTGTTTAATTAAAATACAAATGAAATAATTTAAGATATGGAGCAGAATAAAGTAAAACCCAAAATAAAATTAAATGAGAATTTGCATATTTGTTTTCATTTGCACTTCCATGCATTTGTACTAATGCAAATAAATTTGCACTACAACCAAACACAGCCTAAATAAAAATAGGAAAAAAAAAAAAAGAAGAAGAAAGATATGGATGTTGGAAGGAGTACAAAATGCAAATATATAGAGTGCAAAACCTTATGTTTTATATTAATTTGTATGTATTTACACTACATATTTGCATTCGTGCTCATTCCAAACTGAGCCTAAGTTACATACTGCAAGGCATTTGGTTTGAATGTATGAATGCATCGATGCAAGGTGGAGATGCTAAGAAAATGATATGAAGTTTTCAATCAGTTTCGGAATCCAAAAAGGATTTCATTTCTAATTCTATTATCTTTTGTGAATGATTTGATTTTAAATGGCATTTATGTCTTCAAGTGGGCTGGAGCTATGTGATTTGGGGGTCCCTTTTACCTTTATCTTCTTTTTTGTTCAAAAGGGTCCCGTTACAAATGAAGTCTTTTAAAAATATATTTAATAAAAAAAAATTCTAAATTGTTATTATGTTGATCTTCTTCTACAATTTAGGGGTGATGGTCAACTTGGGGTGATTTTGGTTTCATGGATTTAAAAAGTTGGAATCGCTGCAAAACATCAAAATCCAATGAATTAACCATTTTGATTCATGCCTTGAAATTGAGCCATTCCTGCCAATGCTTTGAAGTTTGAATGCTCCCCAGTTTTAAAAGCCACTTTATTATTGTTATTCTTATTTCTTTTGAAACTTTTGAAATTGAAAAATCTCCATGACATACTTTTAAGATGATGATAACTTGAGATAATGTGTAGGGCAGGGCCCAGATGAGGAAAAAAGAGAAGCAGTTTAAATGACTTGTCTTCTTCTTATTTTTCTTTTAATCTTGAGAAAAATCTTGAAATGAATTACTTTCTGGGACCCACTTTTCCAGAAAACATCTAAGGAGAAACAGTAATTGTAAGGTGTCCAATAGCCACCTTTTAATTTGGTTTCCTCTTTTTCATCTCACAGACACCAACCAGAGGCCGCTACAGCCGGATCCTATAGCTTGCATAAATGTTTATATGTTAGGCCAATGCAAATGTACTAGAAATCACCTAGCTTAGAATAGAATAGAATAGAAATGAGCAGTAGCATTGGTAAGTGTGCTGATGCCTGAAACGTAGATGTCATTAGAGGATCTTAACCCTAAGTTTAGCACCAACCACCTACCTGTTGGAAGTTATTAGTTGCTACTAGACTATCATTCTACAAAAGTACTTTCTAAATCATGGTCTTGGGAATATTTTTTTCCTTGGGAAAATGGGGCTTTTTTTGTCTAAGTGTACTATTTGTTTCACAGCTAACATACAGTCAAATTCCTGCTTAACAACAAACAAAACTACTTTGTCTGAAACCAAAGCATTTCTGTTCTATGCACACGCACATGAATACTAACATCCAAATTAACAAGAGATGGAAGAGCTGTGATGGGTATTTTTCAGACGTACTGGAAAGGAGATTTTATGAGTATCCTATGAAGGGTACCTAGCAGAGATTTTTTATTTTTTTTACTTTGGTAAAGGAGCGTTTGGCATCAAAGGAAGAGGTGGACCATGTGATGTGACTCCTCAGTGGTTGGATAAAAGGACAAGCTTTACAAAAGGATGGTTGGTTTTCAGTTTTTCTGGCATCAAAGGAAGAGGTGGATGTTGTATGATGCCCATTGATTGGTTTTCAATTTTTCTGGCATCATGTAACTTACTTGTTTTAAAAAATATAGAAGAGAAATGAATAATCCAGGAAAAACATAACATGTAATTTTAAAATTGCTTATAGGATAAAATTTGATAAATTTTAATTTTATACTTTTAAAATTAAAAAATATATCTTTATATCTTTGCATTTACATAATACATAAGCATATGACACGTGGCAGGATAATTAGTTTTTAACATGAATTTCAAAACCGGACAGGGACAGATGGTCAGACGGAAAAACCGAGAACTGGTCACCTGATCAGTTTTATTTTCCCCCAAAACTGTTGATTTTGATAAACAAACCATTGAACCAATCGATTAATTATTTGAACGATTTTGACCATTTTTTAATTTTTTTGTTAGAACGAATCAAAAATCAGACCATTTGAACCGATAACCATACCCCTGACCGGTTCGATTTTAAAAACCATGATTTTTTGCATGGAGTTGAAAGGATACATACCGCATATAATATCTAATGTTTTTGCTTCGTAAACGGTCATATATTTGACCCTTTTATAAAGGGGGAGAAAAAGGGGACGTGCCTAAATAGAAACCCTGGCCTTCTAAAAGGTATTAAGTCTATTATTCCACTAGACAAGATAGCTTTGCAGCTATGCTCGTGGAAAAGTCAAATCTTGTTCCTTAGACTTTCTACACATGAAATTTGTATTTTTTTTTAAATTAAAAAAAAAAGCATTGATTATAATTAATCATCCTTTATCCCGCACCCAAACGAACGTGTCAATGTGTCATGTATGTGTATGGAAAGCCTCATTCCAAAACACAGCCCAGTCCAACCCGGAGAGAGTAAAGCCGTGGACCGTGGTACCGTGCCAACAACCTTTAGATCGTTGAAAAATAGCTGGATCTGCCGATCTGGCAAACGTTGCCGCCGGCGCCGATCGATCCAACATGCAATCGACACGACAAAATGAAGCCAGAGAAAGCTGTTGTTAGTCTCTTGTACATGTAGATGGGAGATTTTACTTTTGACCGTAACAAACAAACGGAGCTCAAGCGCGTTGGCTATATTAAACTGCTAACGTGCACATAGCGGGGGGAGAATGCGCACCCGGTCCCAACGCAGTCCTACTTCTTCCCAAGCCCAAATGACAAATAACCTAACAACGTACGGTATGATTCACATTCAAATTAGAAACAACCTAATCCTTTTGGGAATTGGGACCCGCGTCATTCATTTCCTCTCTTCTTCCCCTCTCCTCAGTCCTCACCTCACTTATCTCCTCGCCCGCCCGGCCAAGTAGTTGTCTTCTTTTGTGTAAATTGTAATTGAGAGAGAGAGAGAGATTTCCACTTCCTCTCTATTTATAACTATATATACATAAATCAAATGACGTCTACGATATGAAATCCCAACTATTCATTCCTTCCACGCTTTCCGTATTCTTCGATTGTGTATTCCCTGATTCCTCGACTCCACGCATTCTCATCGGTTCCTCGTCCCAGTAAACACTACTCTTGTTTCTCTCAGCCTTTTTCCTTTCTCTCATGGTTAGTTCTCTTGTTCACTTCTTATTTCGCTTTTAATCCTCACAACATATGAAGCTATCCATGGTTTCAGTTCTCTCTCTTTCGCTTCATCGTTCAGTTTTTTTTCTCTTCTCTTTCTCCTTTGACGACAGACTTTAATTTTAATTTCTCGTTATGCAGGCACAAATAATCGGAGATAGGATCAAATATGAAGAGGTTCGTTTTATTCAGTTTTAGATGAAGGAAGACTTATTAGGTTTTGTGAATTGCCGATTCTCTTTCAATGAATTGATATCAATTCTTTTTTATCGATTTTACAGGAGTTTATATTGAACTCCCGAGGAATGAAACTTTTCACATGCAGATGGCTCCCTGCAACACGAGAACCAACAGCCTTGATCTTTATGTGCCATGGTAATTAACCATTACTTTTCCTTTTTAATTTAAAATCTATTACATGTGAAGTAGGCTTCTCAACCTTTTATTTTATTCTTTTTTTTTTGGTATTTCTCTCTGGAAATTTACGTTCGATTGGGCTTTTGGCAGGTTACGCTATGGAATGCAGTATCTCGATGAAAGGTGAATAATATAAGAATCTCTCTGTTAGTTTTTAAAATTAAATAAAAAGAGTTGAATGACTAATCGGTATCTCTTATGATACAGATACTGGAATTCGACTTGCAAACGCCGGTTTTGCGGTTTACGGGATAGATTACGAAGGCCATGGAAAATCGTCCGGCTTGGACGCTTACATTCCTTGCTTTGATGATCTCGTTAACGACTGCTCCGACCATTTTACCAGCATTTGTGGTCAGATTAATTCTCCTTCTCTGCTTTCTTCCTTCTGTTTGCTTTTTTTATCCTTTTCCCCATAATTTGATTTCGCATCCCTAATATCAGAGAGGAAAGAGAACAGTAAAAAGCTGAGATATCTCTTAGGAGAGTCAATGGGGGGTGCTGTGGCTCTCCTTTTACACAGAAAGAAGCCAAATTATTGGGATGGTGCGGTCTTGGTTGCTCCCATGTGTAAGGTATGTCTCACTGTGCTTTACCTTTTCTCTCTCTCTCATACACACACAAAAAACAAAAGTTTCATAATTAATAATTTTCTTCCTTGTCTTTTTTTTTTTTGTTTATATTTTTTTAGATTGCTGATGAAATGAAGCCTCATGCGGTGGTTATCAACGTTTTAACTCAACTCTGCAAGATTATCCCCACTTGGAAGATAATCCCAACAAAAGACATAATTGATATTGCCATTAAAGAGCCTCAAAGAAGAGAGGAGGTAGCTTAATTTTTTCTTTCTTTCTTTCTTCTTTAAATAAAAAGTAAAACTTTATTTTGGTTAATTACAATGTAACTAATTATGTGTAGGTTCGATCAAACCCATATTGCTACAAAGGAAGACCTCGCTTGAAAACCGGCAACCAACTACTGGCAGTCAGTTTAGATATAGAACAGAACCTTCACGAGGTCAGTGTTTTATTTTATTCTTTTTTTTTTAATTCAGTAGTTATTTGATGGGGTTTCTTGTTGTCATATATTAAAGTCCCCAGCTATTAATCAGCCTATCACATTCTTTCTCCAGTAGCATCCTAAAAATAGAACAAAATACCGAACTTGGGATGTTTCGGTTGTACTTTAGCTGCCACGTTTGAGTGTCTATTCTATTGCGGTTAAAAAGGAAAACAAAAACAACTTTAGGGAAAACTTGTCAATCAATTACATTGACCCTGTAAGGCTGTAACTCTTGGAATAGAATTAAAAATCTTCTTTCGTTTCCAATATATAGCCCGGCCCGGATGCAGCAGATTTCTAATTTCATTTGCTATCTGCCCGATATAATTAATTTAATATACTTGTGCTTTTCATTCAACTGCGTTCAATTCAATCTTCCTGCCTTTCATGCTATTAGGAGACCCCTACCCCATGGCCATGTGCAAATATTCTGTGGGAATGCGTAGATTTAGTTTGTTTGATTATAAAAATAAAACTGAATTAATTGTGGCTTGCTGGTCAATTTTAACAGTCTTATATTTGGCTTTTATTTTTGAGTTTTAAAACCCCAAAACAAAATTGAGGGATTGACTCTGAAAGGATAGAATAAGCTGATGTATGTGACTTCATCATCAAGATTCAAGGGTTTATCCCAACTATACAGGGTTCTGCTACATGAATCCCATGCCATATCCATTATTTCATAGATCATCATCATGTTTGTATGATGAAATGATGCATTTACCCTCATTCAGTTGACTTGGCATCCACCACAATTTAAAAGGGCCCTCGCTCATTGTGGCAGGACGATTTTTATTTGAATTTGATTTGATGAATGAAAATAATATTATAGAGATGTGAGAATGGATATGTGATTACTTGAATAAAGGTGTCTTAGCTAGTTTTGAGCTAACTGTTGACTGTGTGACTTCATTTGATATCTAAATAGGTAAAATTGCCGTTTCTAATCGTGCACGGAGGGGATGATAAAGTGACAGATCCATCTGTGAGTAAGTCATTGTATGAATCAGCATCAAGTTCAGACAAAACATTCAAGTTGTATCCTGGGATGTGGCATGCGCTCACGTCTGGTGAACCTGTGGAAAACATAAATGTTGTTTTCGGTGATATCATAAACTGGCTGGAGGAGAGAACCACCCTCGGAAATTCCAGATTAGAGATGGAGCAGAAGCTTGCCTGTGATACTAAGTCAAAATCCCTTCAACTTCGAGGCAACAAATCGGTTGTGGAACTCTAATCAATTAATGCTGGAATGGCTGCCATAAATTCTTTTCAACTTAATTTTAGTTTAGTATCTTTGTAGGATATAAGTTGGAGATATGTGGGTGTTATGGAAACAGAAGAAGAATTCTATATATGTGAATGTGAATAACATATATAACCAAATTTCATTATGATAATCTTTTATTTATGAATTAGGAGCTTATTACCTAAAGCCAATATTTTTTTTTATTTAAGATCGTTTAGGATGTTAAATATAAAAGTAGTTTACACGTTTGGCTGTAAATGCTTCATTCTCTAAGGCAAGAATTAAAATTTTGCAATGCATCAGGGACTCAGGGTGCATCATATCGGTGCCCCTAATACATTTTGCCCCTGCAATATGTGTTTCAGGGTCTGACCTGGTTCAGGGGTAGATAGGCCTTAAACCAATTCATCCGATTTGATTAAAAAAACTAATAAAAATATTAAAGCGCCCAACGATACAGGCCGATACATCAGATAGCGTGAAACATGCTTTCTGTATAGAGAATGATAAATGATGCACTCAAGATGAAATGAATTTCTCTTGCAATAGGCAAACATTCGGTCTCCATGTTTGTCACCTCCATTAAAGTGCTATTGTACTATGTCAATCTCCTTTGGTCCTTTAGGAGATACTTGCTAGGCTTAGGCCTCCTTCCTAAGTGTTCTTCCTAGTTGGTTGATACACCTTTTATTTGATAGTTGTCTGTATTATGGGATCTGCTCCAAATTCAATCCATTATCTATGAATCTTTCCATATCCCATAATCCAAAATTATTAATTTGAACTTATAAACTTAATTCTATGAATGTTGTTTATTAATTAAAGAGTTATAAGCTAGGTTCAAGTCTCATCTGGACTGGACTGGGGGAGATTTTGCTCTTTTTGGAATCTTTGAAGCTTGCCATGGATCGCAACCTCGCCTTAGCAAGTCCACACCATTTTTTTGCCAATTACTATAGGACATTGAATACCAAAAAAAAAAATAAATTTATTATAGGGCTATCATTTGAGGAAATAGTAAATAGGAAAGCTCTATCTTTGCCTTGCCATTTCACATGGTCTTGGGCACCTTCCTTCGCTATGTTTTACCGAAGTGATGTTAACCCAGCAAGTTGCTATTAGAAGGAATCTGTGTGATCAAACGTCTCATGTTGAATTTAGACAACTAAAAATTTTAACTATAGGCTCAGTTTAGGATGAATATAAATACAAATGTGTATCAAGGTTTTGCATCTAATCCACGCGTACCGACCCATTTGGCATTCAGCTGTTTTGAGGCTCTCTGGATAAGCAATTCCAGCGTTTTAAAAGTTTCAATGACTGATAGAGAACCATTTGGGCTCTAGATTTTTTCACCCAACATAATTTATAGGCTGTCTTTATGAGGCTCACCTAGTACTGTCAATGGCTCGGGTCTGGGTTAGAACCAGTTGGAACCGGAAATCGATTCAACACAAAAGGTTGAGGACCCGAACCCGATAAGGTCTATATTTATGGACCCGGAACTAAATTGACTGATTCCTGAAACAGTTGGGTCTGATCCAACAGACCCAATTATAATAAATAAAAAATAAATGTTTATGTTTAATATATATTAAATACTCTCTATATATTATATGTATAATATATATAATTTATTTAATATATTACACATTTTATTTATATATTATATATTATGTTATATATATATATATATATATATATTGGGTCGAGTTTGAATCGATTCGGGTCCATTGAGTCCGTCCATTGACAGCCCTAGGCTCACCTTGGAAAGACAAAAGCTGCTATGCTTAGGCCTTAGGAGTGCAAGTTGGGTCAATTAGGTCGGATCATGGTTTTTAAAACCGGACCGGATTGGAAAAACTGGGAACCGGTCACTTGATCGGTTCTGTTTTTTCTCAAAACCGTTGATTTTGGTTTGCAAACCACTGAACCGGTCGATTAATCGTTTGAATGCTTTTGACCAATTTTTAAATTTTTTATCAATGGGCCGACCATTTGGGTCGAACGATTGAACCGTTTGAACTAATAACCCAACCCCTGATCGATTCGATCACCAAGTTGGTTTTAAAAACCATGGATCAGGTTGAGGTCAACCCTAACCCAACCTAATTTATTGAATTAAATCCCCATCCAGTGGGTTGTGTTTGGAATTGGATAGGCCCGACTGCTTTGGCAAGTGTTCCCATTTCCTAGACCCAAAGGTTGAGGTTAATTAAATTCTAAATTATTATATATAAAAGGACATAATTCTCATGCTTTAAAAAAATTGACTTAAAAACGTAAATTTGTTGAAACACATACAAACATTCAATAGATTATAGATTATAGATAGATAGATGGAAAACATATGATGCTTGAAGGACATGATATCGAAAAGGGTTTGACCAATCAACACCGTGAATTAATAATTGGTTACTGCTTATATAATTTTTTTTTATTTTTTTGGGTATCATGTCTTTTCGGCATAATGGTCGAACCTACCATAAATACTAAATACAAATAATGCAAATACAAAGTTAAATGGAGACCAGATTAATTAATAAGTTGGGTTGGCATTAAACTCAACCCATCCCCACATTTACGGATTGGGTGGCTTTTTCTTTATTTTTATTTTCCATACATGGAGATGGAGAGGAGTAAGAGAAAGAAAACGTTGAAGTGGTGCTTATTTGGCACCCTCAATAAACGTCTACTGGAACTAAATACCCTCAAGCATGGCCGCCGTTTGCTGTTATATTTGGTGACAGTTTAAAAAGAGGACAGATTGTAAGTTATGTTTTGGTGAAATTGGCTGTCAGTCAGTCAGTCAGTCAGGCTGTCCGCTTCAGCCTTTTTGAATAATTTATCGGTTTATCCGGACCGCTTGAAAAGCAACTGAACCAGCTTAGCTGAATTATCAGCTCACCCTCCCACACGGTCCCTTAGGCTTAAAGCCTTAAACCAACCGCTTTTCTAATATATTTTCTACAACTGATGCTGATTGCCTAATACTTTCTCTCTCTCTCTCTACCTTTCGCTCAAGCGTCAAGAGAACACACTCAGGCAGAGAATTTTTCTCAATTATCATTGTATTTGTTATGAATTCTTGAACTCGATCGCGCATCAAATTTAGTAGATCTCTTCCTCTTTTTTCATTCTCAAAATCACTAGAAATCCCATTTAATTAAAGCAACACTGGAGAAACTGTGAACATGAAACAGCTTCACAAGCAATCAAGCGTCGTGAATTACAGAAGAGATGAAGAGAACCCGCCAACCACCTCAACCCACCCATCTACTTATCCCTCCAAAACCCAAAAACAACCAAGATCCCTCCCCAGATCCATCAATTACCTCATGAAAGAACAGAGACTCCTCTTCATTCTCGTCGGTATCTTGATCGCATCTACCTTCTTCTTTCTCCAGCCCACCCTATCGAGGCTTGGCCCTTCTGAATATATCTCCGTAGAACCCATTGGTGTTACCAATCATCATAACGTTTGGAACCCCTCTTGGAGTTCCGCAAATCGTCAAGTGGGTAAGGTCGGAAGAGTGCCGGCCGGGATCCAGAGACGGCAGTTGCGAATTGTTGTGACCGGAGGTGCCGGATTTGTGGGTAGTCATCTTGTCGATAAGCTTTTGGCAAGAGGGAACAATGTGATTGTGATCGATAATTTCTTTACAGGGAGAAAAGAGAATGCGATGCACCATTTTGGGAATCCAAGGTTTGAGCTGATCCGACATGATGTAGTGGAGCCTATACTTTTGGAAGTCGATCAAATTTATCATTTGGCTTGTCCGGCTTCACCTGTACACTATAAGTATAATCCCATCAAGACGATCATATCCTTCTCAAAGACATTATAGCTCTGAATTTTCTTCTGCTACTTTTGGATTTCTGTTATTTATCAAATTGGGAATACTTTGAAATCCTTGACTGTGATTACAAGACAAATGTGGTGGGCACCTTGAATATGTTGGGCCTGGCAAAGAGAATTGGGGCACGGTTTCTGCTCACCAGTACAAGTGAAGTGTACGGTGACCCGCTTGAGCATCCGCAGAAGGAAACCTACTGGGGAAACGTGAACCCAATAGGTAAGCTTTAGTCATTGTTTACGATCAATCCCATCTCCCTATTTCTCTGTTTAAATCCATTTTTTTGCATTTCCTACTAATTTTCTGAGTTCTTGGTCTTGTTTAGGTGTCAGAAGCTGCTATGACGAAGGAAAGCGGACTGCTGAAACTTTAACGATGGATTACCACCGAGGTGCAGGTGTTGAGGTAGGTAATTCTGATATCAACTTATGGATGAGCTTTTGTAGAATGTTGATTCTGTGACATACGAGACACAGACCGAGGTTTACATGATATTTCTTTTTCTATTAAATGCAATTACTATTTGCCGCTTAATGTCTCAATCCCAGTTCTGTATACAAATGGGWATGCTCTTCTATAATGTTTGATTTTTCTTGATTTATGTTGACGATAACATCTCACCAAAGTTTTCTCCAACCCCATAATGTTTGCTCATGCGTCTAGTCGGCAAATACGCTCCCTTCATGTTTCCTTGTCTAAAACTTTGCTCTCATGTCTAGAGAACCAGATATATTTATACCCAACTTATATGTTTACTTGGTCGTTTAACTACCTTTCCAAATCTGAAACGCCTTTCTGTAGATATTATAACTATTTTCTAATTTCTAGAACGCCCATTTTTCCCTTTGTCCACTATGGTTGAGTTTAAACCTTGAAAGTTATTCTATCAATGCATATGTCGGTGACATGGCATACCATTTATAGATACTTTGCTTCTGCTTTAGCTTCTGAAATCTGATTTTTCTTTTTGACCACTGTCTACAATTTAGTTTCTTGATTCATTATTTTTTAAGTAGACCCAATTGTCTGGATAATCATGTTATTAGTTACGAGTATTAGTGTCAAGTATCAATATCTGTGTTGGCAATCCCATGAAAAGAGGGTTATGTAACATGGTATCATATACTAATCTCTAGAGTGATATCATTCCTGGACAAGTTATACAAAAACTAAGGGAAAAGGTTAGGTAATAACAAAAGTCTAGAAATAAGAGCATGATTTTATATATCAACATTTGAATCTTAATAATAGAATTTATCAAAAAGTGAGAATACTACATTCCCGACTAGTTTTAGACTTGGTTATACAATGGTATTATGGACTTGTAGTAATTGGTTTAGCAAAACAAACTTTGTTATTGATTCTTCATTATGTTTTGAGCACCCCATTTTAGGTTATGGCTGTTTTTGATGCTCAATGGATGAGTATACAACTCCTTATCTATCTCTACTGGCCAAAAGGCACATGAGATAAACTGAGTACTAAAGATCAACCATTACTTTGAGCATGCCTTTAATGCAAAGATTCTAGTTTAAATTTATTTACAATGACCCTAGGGAAATTATAAATTTATATTTGTTTACATTTTTTAGTACTTAATTGACACAATCAATTATAGAATTGCTTTCATACCATTCAAGTAGTACTTATATTTCCAAATCTACTTACCTGGCTCTTAAAGGTCTGTTGTTTCATTATCAGCAACTGGTAATGATTACTCGATGTTTGAATGCAGAGGAGGCAGCTTATATGAATATGTTGCAGTATGTTCTATGAGATCATATACTGGAACACCCTGCCAAATTGTAAAGAGGAGTACATGGTTAAAGAAAAAAAAAGTATAAACAAATATGATGCTCATGGTTAAAGAGGGGTATATGCTGAATTTTCTTTCAATTGAACCTATATTTCATTTTCCTAGATTTACTGTCAAGTATGATGGATTGAAATTGGAAGATCCTCATGTTTTGTGCTCTTTTGTTATACTTTTAAAACCTGAAGGTTGAAATAGCATGGCCTTATGATTATGATGTGATGTTTGCTGGGTTTGACTAGATTTTCTTTATTGGGATAAATCCCCCTAAGAAATCTGAAACCCCTTTTTTATTTCTTTTCTCTCCTATAAAAGTGTGAATGATAGTGTGAAACTTTTGTTTAACTAAAATACCCCAATTTTTTAATTTAGTCCCTCTGTAATTGTGAGGTCACAAAATGTAATTCAAACTACTACATTTCTCCTCATTCAATTCCCTCTCATTAAGTATTATATTTATATTTAGGGTATTAACTCCCATTATTTCATTGAATCCTATATTAATTAACCAAATTATAGAAAAATAAGTGTGGCAAAGAATAATTGTTTGTATTGATGATAGAAATAAAATATAAATTTAAAATCAACCCAAAAATGTAGTTGTTTTCCTATTTGGTGGTGAGTCAACAATTCAACTTTTTTACTTAAATAATAATAAAAATTAAAAAAAAAAAGATGAAAACACATAAAAAGTATAAAAATACAAAAAAATTGTAGAAAAAAAATACTTGGGCACATCTCTAATATGTATATTCATCATATTAAATAAAAATAAGTGTGGCAAATAAGAATAATTTTTATAGATATAGAAATATAAAACATTATAGAAATTTTTAGAAACATTATTTACTATCATCATCATCAAAAATTGCCATGTGCAAAGCATGTGTACACTTATATATCTTTAGATGGAAGTGACCTTGGGATGTATTGTTTACAGGTGCGTATTGCACGCATTTTCAATACATATGGGCCCCGTATGTGCTTAGATGATGGACATGTCGTTAGCAATTTTGTTTCTCAGGTTTGGTTTTCAGCCCCCATTTGATGGGTTTGTAGCTTTTAATTCTTTCCTAATGCTTCAATCTTGAAATCAGGATAATAGGACATCATAGAATTGAGAGGATCTTCTAACTGTTTGTGTAAGCTTTTCAGGCCCTCCGCAAACAACCTTTGACAGTTTATGGTAATGGAAAGCAAACACGAAGCTTCCAATATGTTTCTGACTTGGTATTCTACATATCTATCATCCTGTGTATTTGTTCTGTCTATGCTACTCTTTTTTTTTTTTTTTTTTTGAGATGTAAGGTCTTTGCAAGGTAAAAACTGTTTCAAGGCATTATACTCCATGCACATTTATTAAGTGATTATGAGCTTTGTATCTTTTTTTCCTAAAATCTGTAGCAGCTATAAGTTGTTATCAAAATATTGGAAGAGTATTCTAAGTGCCACAGCAAATTGCTCTCTTAGACGTGAAGCTTGTGTATAAAATTTCATAAGTATTCATGATGCACATTATCTCCAAAGGTTTTCATGGTGAACCTAGAGGGAGACTGAACCTATGTTTCATTCAATTCCACCATTGCTGAGTTGGTTATCATCTTATGCATTATTGGGTGATAGTAGGGAAAAATCTACTCCCCTTTCTTGGCACCTACTACTTCTTCTTTTTATTGAACTTAGCAGGTTGGAATCTGTTTTAACCCCTGCTAAGCTTTTCCCAAGCTTCATGTGGTAGGAGAGAAAGTGGTTTGTCAAAGGACATGTAAGTGTAGAAATAAGATTGAAAAATAGGAAAAATTTTAGTAAAACACAATTAAGGGGGGTATATAAATCTGTCAAAATGGGCTTTGATAATTTATGTTTTGCTTTATTTCATAGGTTGTTTATTTTAAACTTAACAAGAAAGAAGAAAGAAGATGCTGATGGTAAAGTTGCATCTGAATATGGGAAGGAAGACAGTATTTGGCCTTCATTTGAGTAGAAATACAAAAACAAAAGGCAAATAACCAGACTTTGTTGGACTGGATTGAAGAAATTTATTTATATGGTAAGATGAACCATGCAAAAGAATTGAACTGTGTTAGATTAAGCATGGTGTGTATTTGTGTATGTGTGTATGTATGTTATGATTGTCACTGTGCATGGTCTGTCTTCCCCATGTTTTGGATCAGGACAGTAGATGACATATTCATTAATACTTGTATGACCAAAATACGATACATAATTGATAGGTGTTTCTATCTCTTTTATGTTGACACAATGTATTTGAAATTACTTGCTTAATCTTTAACCATGCAGTTTTATAACCTGTACTTTGATGGAATATGTTCATCTTCCTCATCTTTGGGTATTTGAGCAAAATTAGTTGGGGATTCTAGAGACTGATTTTAGGAGATGCTTAGGGCCCTGGAATCTGGATCCTCTTATAATGGATGTAGCTCTTGCTTCATCCTTGATTATATGGTTCCAGGAACCTCATTCCCATAAAGTTGGAAATGTGAATCCTATCTTCTACATCACTCTCCGAAAGTGGAAACAACATCCAATCCCGCTTCTCTTCATGGGGGTGTTAGAAATATTTAATTTCATACTCCAGTATCCCCTATTTCAATCCTGCTCCAGCTTATGCTCTGGTCATTTAGGGAAGATTATATGTTCTAACCAGAAATGTTCATAGAAAAGAGATACTAGGGCTGCCTTAACCAACATTGAGGTCTCTAGTGAGGCAAACCCAACTGGTTCAATAGATGGGAAGTGGGGTCTTAAACAAGAGATCTTGTCACTGTCGGTTCTTCTAAGTTCTAACTGCATAGGACAAGGCAATGTAATAATCCAGTCATCCACAAAGATCTGAGATCCATGAAGACATAGACTGCAGCCGCAGGATTCAACACAGCCATTTATAAATATTGAGTTTTTTTTTTTTTTTTTGCATGTGTCTGTGTGTCACGAGAGAGAGAGAGAGGTGCTGGACCACCAGTAATATGCATCACAAAATTTTCACAAGTACAGCTTAGGATGGGAGAATTTGTCTTGCACAAGTGCATGCATTTATTTAGTGAACTTTCATGTTGTTATGGGAATGATTGATTCTATCTCTCATTTTAGGTTGATGGGTTGGTGGCATTAATGGAAAATGAGCATGTTGGGCCTTTCAACTTGGGTAACCCGGGAGAATTCACCATGCTGGAGCTTGCTGAGGTGAGGAATTCCCTGAATTCTATACATGTATTAGGTGTGCACAAATGATGTGTTTCTCAACTGCAAAATTTTCTTTTCATTATTTCCATCAATAAGGTTTACCTTGCATCGCTTGGCATAGGTTGTCAAAGAAACAATTGATTCCAGTGCAACCATTGAATTCAATCCAAACACAGAGGATGACCCACATAAAAGGAAACCGGATATCTCCAAGGCAAAGGAATTGCTGAATTGGGAGCCGAAGATATCATTAAGGGAGGGATTGCCATTAATGGTGACTGATTTCCAGAAACGCATCTTGAATGATGAGGAAGGAGGAACACTCAAATAAGATAGGAAGTAATTCCCTGTATAGTATGAAGAGCATGTCGCATATTCCACCTATCAGTGTTTTTATTTTATTTTGTTCATTTGGCGGCTAAGATCTTTGATTAATTTGTTGTCACCTATTCTACCATCATCTAAATATCTACTTGGAAATTTTGGATGCATTCCACATTTGTAAAGAAAGAGGCATGTATCCTACAGTTTTGTAATGGAAATTCTGTGTTCTGACATAATTAAGAGTGCAACCCCACTACAATATGATTGAGCAGTAGGCAAGTTGCACTTGGTTCCATTGGCCAAAAACTTTAAATTTGTTGTATTAGCAGACATGGCGCACAAGTTTCCTTTTTCGATCCATTGATCATGGGAGATGCCAACATTTGGGAGCCACTACTACGATCTCCTCGCTGTAACAGGTTGCCGTAGCCGTATCTCAGAATCCTAAAGTCAAGTGAACGTCCCACCTCATTGGTTAATCTACAAGGAATTGTCAGCTAATTTTTTATGGTTACGGCCGTAATGAAACTATGATGGGGTTGAGATCAGGCTTATATGTGATTTTCATCTACAGGGAAAGGGAAATGCTTTCTGAAAGTCAGGCAACTACTTGGCTCGATATCCATCTGTGAAGAAAAACAAATTTCCCTTATCAAAATCTCCAGATCTAAGAATCTCTGGGAGAGGGTATAGAGTGGAACCTGATTACTCCCTTACAAAATAGGACAACTGGTAACTTCTGAAGATTTCTGATCGGCTTCATTTAGGGATATCATCTGGAGGAAAAATCGGTTTCAAGGCATTGCTATGCTAGAACTTTAACATGAAATGCTTAGGGTTTAGGACCAGTCTCGTAAACATTCTTAAGGCATTTGTGTGGAAGAACTTACCGAAAGCTCGTAATATAGCTGCCTTCTCCTGTCCAAATCCCTGGAGCCAATGGTTACAGGAGTGGACTGGGCAATGAGGTCCAATTCTAATTCGTTTTTAATTATTTCATGTTACTCAATAAAATACTAAAATATTAAGCCGACAGTGACAAGCATGCGATCCAACACCTGGATTGCTGGAGCCGTCAATTCTGTGTAATGACAAAGCAGTCGTATGATATCCATGAGATGAAGCCTCATTTCATGCCCTCAGGTTTAGGCATAAAAGGACTTTCAAGTTTCAGCAACAAAACATGGGAGATGAAATGTCATGATTGTCTGAGATGGGTTTCTCGGGAGCCACTGCAGAACGTTAGCCTCAAGATAGCTACCAAATAATGCCTACAACTTTGTAACAATCTGGAAATTTCCAAAGATGAACCCTATATCTATTTTAATTGTTCCTGAATGACTTCAATGACTCTAGCAAAAGTGATTGGCGAGAGGATTAGGTAAACATAAATTGCCAAAGAAAAAAAAAGCTCAAATCCAACGCCACTGAAATTCCAACTACTACAGATTTCGTGCAGGTCATTTTCCCAAGTTATCTCCACCGTTGAAGCAGACGACCAAGAAAATTACATCCAGACGCCAAATGGGCCAGAAAAGGGCTTCCAAGTTAAGCTCGTTCAGTTCTGCAAGTAATTGAAATGGTGATCCAAATCCATCCTTCCTAACAGGTACCAGGTTGTTTACCAGCTTGCATGACATTTATACACCGAGAGCCCATTTGTTGCCCGTTAATAAGATCAAATAGATAAGGCCTCTCAGATGATCTTGTTTCTAACATCTTCAAGTTTCTTCATTATTTCCCCTGGAGTTCGATCCAGTTCATCTGCAATCTTCCTCTGCAAATCTGGAGGCAATGTTGGGAACTGTTCGCAGAGATCTCCATCAATTACGTCCTGAAATCATTTTGTCACATCACTCCCAGGATTTTGTAGAAAAGCAATACTATGAAAAAGGAAGGGACTGTATGTGTAACTGTTTATTTTCAACAAGATTCGACTAAGGTTCCTGGAGAACTATATGCATATCAAACACTCACTCGAACCACAAGTGTTATCCAAACAAACATCAAGCCAAAGCAGAATAAGAAATAAAATATATTTAACACTGAATCTCAGTCTCACCTCATTTGGTGTTTAAGTCAAAGCAAAATAAATGAGGAAATATGATTAACTGCATTTAATTTTGCTTGCATGGATCATCAGTATTTCTTCCATTAATGACATGGAAGATATGATCACAAGCACTTTTTTCCATTAATGGATTATCAGTAAACATGCAAATCCATTGTGATCATATCTTCCATGGCATGGATTACCATATCTTTCACATTCCTAATGGTCACATGCCACATCCATTGTGAGGTAAGAGGGAAGTGGAACATACAATCACAAGCACTTTTTTTGTTCACCTTACACCTGCAAAAGAAAACTGGCTTTTTGGGTATATATGAAACAGAGCATGTATTACAGCAATAAGTGTATCTACAAGTTCGATTTCAGGGCTTTACCTTTACTGGAAAGTAGGCTGATCTGTAGGCCATGTGATCTCTTCCACATAGAGGTGGATTCTCCTGCCTCATATGCATCTCCAAATGAGAAAAGAAATCAACATCCTCCCTAGACGTGAAAGGAAGAAAAGCCCCCAAGCTCCCCATTACAGTCCCATAAATGATGCACTCTCCACCACCTGGTATGAGAGATGCCTTATGCAAGGATGTGACCACATCACCCACATGGAACTGTACGATTTCTTCTACCTTATTGGGGGCACCATTCAGCTTTCCTTGTTCCCACTTAATTTTGCCTCCGGTTGGATCTTCTTCAATCTCATCTGAGACATCCTGTGGTAGTCGCATAAAATATACATTCCCAAATTTGTCAGCACCAGCCATGGTATCAAAGTCTACGTGGTGTGATGCTGTAAGCCATCTGGGAACACAATCATCTGCAAATATATATAGTTGATTTTCATCCCTCCTATACTTGCAGTAATGGAATGACTGTAAAGGAAAGAGAGCAGTTAGAAATAACTTGACAAATGAGAAAAAATAACACCATTGAGCAACAAGTTGGTATAACAAAAAACAAATCATGTATCCTACTGCCATAATTAGGGGTGTCAATGGACGGACCGGGTTTGGGTTGGACCTCTGAATCAAAATCAGTTTATAACGGACTGGATGGACCAATAAAACATATTGAACAGGGCCAGTCCAGACGTAATGGTCCAATGTATTTATTGGATTGGATTGGACCTAGTTCATTTGTAATGGATTTTTTATTGGACTGGGTCAGATTGAACCTATATCCGGTCCATTGACAATATGATGAGAGTGCAGGTGTCAATGGACCAAGTTTGTGTTGGACCCAATCTAAATTAAAACAAATGTGAACAGTTTGGACAGTCCAGACATTGAATTGGACCAGTCCAGAATGGTCCAAAGTATTCATCAGATTGGATTGGATCAGTTCCATCTGTAATGGACTCGTATTGGACCAGATCGAATTGGACTAACATCCGGTCCATTGACAGCCCTAGCCATAATGTTGTCCCAACTTCCAGGGTTAAATAGGTACTTTCTGATCTGTGTTCCTCGTCATTATAGAGTTTTCACTCAGGTTGGTTGTTCTGTCAACGAGATTTTCTCCTGTAAGGGGGTAGCTTTGTTTGGAATCCAATTTTCAGGCATCATCCTTTGGATTGGGAAATGGAAGAATATTTTGCTATCCTTCAAAGATTTAGAAGAAACTACTTGTTTGGAGAGATAAAGAGGATGAAATCATTTGCAAATAGGACCCTAAAGGAACTTTTTGGTCAGATAATTCTCTATGTTGCCGTGGCTAGAAATAATATGCAATAGGCAGAGGTCAATTGTGTTCACTCTGTTCCCCCAAAGAGTAAAGGCTTTCTTGTTTCTGGTTTTATCCCAGCAGAATATTTTTTTTGGATATTAGCACAATAAAATTAATTTCCTAATTCAAAGCATATTACATGTAATTATGGCATATGCAACTATGCAAGTTATGCTTGAACTGATGTTCCTCGACATATCAAGTTATTCTATTCTTTTCATTTGAAAATGATTCAGTCATAGAAGAATGCCTTAACCAAATCCCAAATGAGAAAATGAAATTTCCAACATAAAGATGAAAAGAAGGGAACTCATATATTGCTAAGTCAATGGATTTCAAAGATGTTATGGTTGAAGGGTACCTACACATGATTGTAGAGTTGCTAAAAAAATATGAATGTGCCCTTCTATATTCTCCTGGCCCCATAAAAGAGGAAGGAAAATGTGGAGGTGTGCACGAGCAGCCTTGATCTGGACAGTTTGGGAAGAAAGGAATTCCAGGATCTTCCAAGAAAAGGGGAATCCTTTACTAACTGTTGGAGGAATTGGTTATCAGTAGCAAGCTGTTCCTCCTCAAAGGTAAGCATATTGACAAGCTGCCCCAAGGTGTGCACGAGCAGCCTTGATCTGGACAGTTTGGGAAGAAAGGAATTCCAGGATCTTCCAAGAAAAGGGGAGTCCTTTACTAACTGTTGGAGGAATTGGTTATCAGTAGCAAGCTGTTCCTCCTCAAAGGTAAGCATATTGACAAGCTGCCCCCCCCCCCTCAAGGCTCACTGAAGCTGAATTTTGATGGGAGTAGCCAAGGCAACCCAGGGCCCTCTGGGTTGGGAGGTGTAGTAAGAAATGAGGCTGGAGAGGTTGTCGTACTCTATTCTGGCCCATTAGGTGTTGGAAACTCTATTCGGGCAGAGTTGTTAGCTGCAATACAAGAAGTACTCGCAAAAGAAATGGGTGTGGAGCAACTTCTGGTTGAAGGGAACTCTTAAGGCAGTGGTGGACTGGCTAAATAATCCAGAGGGTTGGGAGATCAGCTACAAAAATGAGCTAAAGAAATTCAAATGGCTGATAAGGAATATGTCTGTAACAATACAGTGGGTTGGGAGATCAGCTAATGCATTTGTTGATGTCTTGACAAAACAACGGACAAATAGGGAAACATTGTTCTGGGCTCAACTGTAATTTTTGTATTAACATTCTTGTACTCTTTGCTATAGTTTTTGTGTTCTCTATTTAGAGAGGTGGCACCTCACGCCTCTCTAAGGGGATATTCATGTAACCAGTCTTTGAGTTAATGGAAATATGATACTTTATCTATCAAAAAAAATATGAATGTGGATCATGGAAATACAGGCATGTAGTGAAGGAAATCAATCTCAAAGCTGCCTTTGGATTTGAGGACAGCATACAAGTGAACTCACAGATTGGCCAGTACTGCTGCTGATGGGCTTGTCAAACAAGGAGTAAGACAAAAAGAAATGTATTGGGGTCAAGGGTGAAGAAATTCTATCATATTTAAGATGGCTAGTCAAAGCTAGATACCATACTTGGGTCTTGGAGGCATAGCACATGTTTTTGTATACATTCCTAAATTTATTAATGAGTGTATTTAAAAGTTGCTGATAAAAAAGCATAGAGATGAGAAGAAACTCAACAGTTCCTTCACCCGCTAAACATAATTATGTGCACATTCTGGAAATAATAAAGCTCTATCAAACCTTAGAAAGAGTGCACAAACTTATAAGCACAGTAAAACTTACAAAAAAATATAAATCATATAACAGCATTCATGACAATAACTCTCTTGAAAAAAGCATTTTATCATTCAAAGAAAGTATATTTATATTCCTTATAAAACATACCTCTTGCATGTCGCCAACATAAATCCTGTCCCTATATGTGTTGATGGAGATGATTGTGTTGGGGAAGAGCTTATTCTCACATTTCCTAAGCAATCTTCTTTTCCCTAAATCATATAATCGGAGTACTGGTCCTATCCCAGCAAGCAATCTTCCTTGAAACTGGCACAAAGCGAGAGGAATACCCTCTACTTGTGTTTTATGCAAAAGCTCAAGAGATTTTCCATCTTCCACAAACCTATAAATATGAATAAAGCCTGCCGTGAACTTTCTCTTGGGCCAAAACTGCAATCCTTTTGCTGTACCAACAGCCAAAAGAGTTCCATATTCCTTGTCATGAAAGTTCACAGTGCATACACTAAATGCAGCCTCATTGTCCTGAAGCTCTAAAAGGCATGTGGTGCTTGATGTCCTAGGATCAAGAACTCTGATGCAAGACACCCACTTGTCTGACTCTGCTTTTGGGTAACCATACTGCTCATCAGATAGAGGATCATCTTTCTCCTCATCATCACCACCATTTTCCATCTGCTCCATGTTACCATTTCCATTCTCCCCCACTCCGGCAGCCTCCAGACATTCCCTTCTTGCAGCTTCGCGCTCTTCTGCAGTGAATGCTCCCTGATCACTCTCAATCACCACCAGCAGTTTCCTCTTGGGATGAAAGACAAACTTCCTTGGAGTATATCTCAAAGGAATTGTAGTTTCATTGAATGTCTCTCCTAACCGCTCAATTGTGAAAACCCTCAATGCATCCCCAGCAACAGCAACCACACCTTCTGCACACTGATCAGAGGAAAACGAGGCAGCATATTCGAGAGTCTCATATGAAAGAGGAGTTAACAAGAAGTGTCCTTGGTGAATATAACCAAGCCAAGGCCGACTAGACAAGCAAAGCATTGCCCGCTTACCTCTTACTATTGCAGAAAATAGTTTTGGGGCTCTGAGTCCTAAGAAACGGGAACGGGTGTCAGAAAGTTGACCTGTCACCATATCAACCATAGTTCTGAAGAGCACCCCATTCTGTAAACCAGCATTAAGAAAAACACTAGCAGGGTGATCAGCACCATCCTCCCCACCCACTGATGCTTGAACTTCAAGTAAGAGAAGAGATTCTGGAGGTGAAGATACACTCTGCACACTCAGAATCTGCATGCAGTCATCAGGGTCCAAGGATAAGATGCGGATCGTGTTATCATAGGACCCTACAGCAAGAAAACGGGACCTTTGCCTCCCTTCGGGAACTGGGGCAATGTCCAGACAAGCCACATCCCCAGACATTTCATGCTTCTCAACCTCCATCAACTGACCCGTCATGTCCATCTCAAAATAGATAAGCTCTCCTCCACTCAGAGCAATAACCACCTGTAGTCTATTAGAGGCAACCTTCACAATTGTCCTCTTCCCAGGTGTTTTCCATTCATTAATACGGCCATCCTCTCTTATATGCCTGATACCATTTGGATGGACTTGCATTAGAGAATCATCCCCTAAAAGAGACACAGCAAGTGATGGTGTGGTATCAAGGAATCCACTATCACTAACTTCTTCAACTGTCTCACCAATCGAAAGCACTAGAGTAGCATTTGCAAAGGAAACAACAATGTATGCATCAAACTCATCATTAACATTTTTCTTCACCGTCCAAACAGCACTTGGGATACCAGGGAGCTGTGAGACAGCCATCTCACTAATGGCTAAACCTGGTCTTAGTATCCGTAGAGACGACCGTGGGCCCCGGCCACAAAGTGTAAATATCTGAGGAGTCTCTTCCTCAAACAAATTTATAACTTTCATGTCCATGATTGGCATCAAGCTCTCAACTTGGTCAATCCTAACAAGATTCTTAAGGCCCCTAGGCTGGAAAAACACTGGCTGAAAACCTTCTTCTGTTTCCATCAGTGTAGCTGATGATGATTCCACATCCTCATCCTCTCCTATTGCCTTAAACTGATATAAAGCATGATTCCCAAACTCTGAAGCAGCGAATAGAAGCCCTGATTTCAAAACACACATAGAAGCAGTAACAGGAATAGTGTCAAAATATTTTATCTTCAACTCTTTCACGCGTTCATTCTCATGATCCAATGTAACCTTGAATAAATCTCCATATTCTGTCTGCAACAGAAAGAAGAACATAGACTTCTGCTTGTGTGTGGCAGCAGAAACTATGAGCACCCCACGCTCCGCAGGCAAATCAGCTCGCCTAGGAATGACAGCTCGTACATCAGATTGGCCCTGGTTCTTATAAATGACAAAGTTCTCCGCACACACGAGGACGCCACTGGGCCCATCCCCACCTCCAGGAACTGTGACAAGCAAGTTGGCACCATTGTCAATTGGTTCTGACCATTTCCGGGAGACATGATTCAGCCCAAGATCAAGCTCGTAGAAGGTAACATGTTTCTGAGCGTCACTTGCAGCCACACCAGATGAATCCTGATCCGCTTCCGAGTAATCAAGCTCAATTGCAGCAAAAATTGGATTGTCAAAGCCGCAGTCAACCCCAGCAATAGAATACACGATGGTGTGAGACTTATGCGCTTCCAATGGCGATGAAATTGTCAGCCTCGCAGCAGTATCTCTGTTCAAAACGTAAACAAGCTTCTGCTTTTCACATGCACCAATCATTACCGCACGACCCTTGGGATCAACGGCCACGTACTGCCCTGGAACAATTCGACGACAACCCGATTTCCCAAACGTCTCCTGATGAATTTTATCAAAAATATTTTTCTCTTTGTTATATTCAAGAATCACGATTCGACCGGAATCAGACCCAACAACAATATAGTCTTTCTGAGAACCAGTTAGCCTAAATTGAGCTAATGAACGGATTGTTCCAAATACCTCGACGGATAAAATTGTCTGGATCTTACCGTTTTCATCGGGGCGCAACAGATCAAGAACTTTCCCTCTAGCCACAACAATTTCTTGGGATTTTCCACCGACGAAGCTCCCATTAGTAGCACAGACGATACCGGTGGCTCGTTGCAGAGTTAGACTGTAAAGATACATGGCGAAGTCGTTACTGAAACCCTAGAAATCTCTGCAGGAACACCTCGTTGAAACCTTAAGCAACACCTAACATGTAAGGGAAGAAAACCCTATCTTTTGGGGAAATAGAACGAGGGTTTATGGTTTTACACTCATTTCAAGCTGCATAGAAAGAAAGAAACGACTTCAGATAAATACATGTCGAGCTAATATCTACGATTAGAAAATCAAAGAAAAATCAGTGTCATCGTCCGAAGACTCCGAACTAACCTGAATTGTGCGAATTTGCTTCCCGCGACCGGAAGAGAGAGAGAGAGAGAGAGAGAGAGATAAACCCTAGTTCACCGCTTCGTTTGTCTCACCCAGCCTCCCAGGGGAAAGTCACGTGAGACGAGCTCCATTCCTCCATTTTTTTTATTTTTCACAAGTGGTGTTTTAGTAATTACATATCTTTTATGAACACGTGTAAAAGTAAAAGTGTAGATCTCCGATCCCTTTTTTAATTTTTTTAGTAGAATCAGAAGGAGAATTCCGATCCCATTATGGTGTAAGATTTTATTTGATAGGTATTTGCCTGGAATTACATGTTTTTTGTGGTAGAAACAGTTAGAAAGATTATATTAATTTATCAAAAAAATTACATCCATCCCATTTTCTTAGGCACCCCTTATAGTTTTATGGGGAAAATCTATGATACAGAAAAGATACGGTATGGAAAGAGTTTTGATCAATCAAATTTCATTCATGAATTTTGATAAATAACACCTAATTGGTTACTATGACTTTTCAGATATCATATCTTTTCCATATTATAGTTGAACTCTGGTTTTATGTATTTATTAAAATTTAGCCTCTAGTTTGTGTTTTACTAAAACACCCCATTGCATTCAACCCTTTCACACAAGAATGGGGGTTGGGGGGTAGCACGTCCCCACAAATCAGCAAAACAAACAAAGGAGAGAGAAAAGGGAAGACAGGTGAAATTGAAAGAGAAACCATCCCAAGAAGACGCTAGAGCTTCATGCACAAGCCAATCAGTAGCTTGATTTGCTTCACCATAGATATGCCGAAACTTCATTCACTTGAAAGCAACGTGATATGATGGTCTTTAATGTTCATGGATGAACAACCTTATTGTTCAGGCAGGAGATTAGTATATTGGAGACTCTTTGAAGTTCAATACAAGGTTGTTGGCTTTCCACGTTGCCCACGCCTCCACTTGGTTGATGGTAGACTCCCCAATTTTGTACGCTTTAAAGTTTAGGATCTTCCTGCAAAGTCACGAGCTATAGTGGCTAACCGAACACTTGTTACTAGTGTTGCAAGAAGCATCAAAGTTTATTTTTTGATGCTTCCAGGCCTTGGGTGTTTCCAAATAATCTGAGACCAAACATGGTCAGGAACCATAGAACAAACTTTGTCTCTGTTCCAACAACGTCTCTCTTGGTAGCGGGTGTTATTATTTTCAATGAGGTCCTAGTTTATTTCTTTACTTACAGGTTTCCCATTAACCCATTGATTGAGCCAGAAGTTTATTTTAGGGAAAATTTTCCATCAGTACCTTATATTTTGGGCTTAGTGTCACTTTGGTCCCCAAACTTTAAAATGCGACAATTCAGTATCCAAACTTTTAAAACGTGACAATCCAATATCTGTCGCTAACTAGCTGTTAACCAACCACTAAGAGGCATTTAAGGAAAAAAAAAAAAAACACAAATGCCCTTTAAGTGTTATTTAATTTTCTCTATCAACCATTTAAACGTTGACAAAAATTAATAGTCCCAAATCTTTGCCTTTTCTATTCAAGAAAGTTTGGGTCATGTTTGAGTGGAAATTCTACCCCAACTTTCTTGAATAGAAGAGGCAAGGTTTTGAGACCATTAATTTTTTATCAATGTTTAGATGGTTGATAAAGAAAATTAGATGACACTCGAAGGGCATTTGTATCTTTTTCAAATGTTACTTAATGGCTAATTAACAACAGGTACTAGATTGTCATGTTTTGAAAGTTCAAGAACCAAAGAGGCACTTGGCCCAAAGTACAGGGTACTAATAAAAAATTTTCACTTTATTTTATCACCTTTGCCTACATACCAACGAACACCTTTCTTTAGAATATCCCTGGCTTTGATAGTGCCTTGCTAGGCCCACGAGGACCCCTTTTTTGTTCCAAAAGTTCTCTTTTTTTAAATATTTTCCTTTGATGACTTTGATGCCCATAAAATGTGTGGAGAATTTATTTACACTTGGGTATGACGGCTTGATTAAAAAGGGCTTGCATCAAAGGTTTTTTATTTCAAAAATAACCCTAAAAAATTCTCATATATAACATGTAGTCCACCCCTTTTCCGAATAAAGTTATAATGTGTGGAGAGGGTTTATTTGTTTTCTATAGGTTGATAAGATAATTATTAGGGTTATTTTTAATAAAAGGGCTAATGCGCCATCATATTTTCGGCATGCCTTAAGTGTTCACCTGACAATTCCCATATAGAAATATAAATGCTTTTTTATGGAGGGTCAAATAAGTAAAACATATGCAAATTGTAAGCAATGTTTTAAAAACCTACTTGAAGATTGAGTCGTTGTTGCCTTTAAGTCATAGGTCATTGGTTCAACCATCCGGATCACATGGTTTAGACCATGCCATGTCAATAATATAATATAATATATGTGTGTGGGGGTGTATATGAAGGAAGGTGGAATCCATCATATGGATAGCCGAATTATGCTAGATGGTTGGGCGAATTTTCAAAAATTTTCTTTCAACCTTCCGATAATCGTATTCCCAGTTTTAGAAAAACTGCATTTTATTATAATCGATCTTACACTGAAACCGGATAAGATTTGAAACCAAATAAGAGGGAGAGTATACATGATATGGATTCCACAAATGTAGCTCCCAATGTGGTATTTCACACCCAAATCAAATCCCAAAACCAGCTTCCACTGAAAATGGCGCAGTTTGGATTGAAACCGGTTCAACAACGCAGTTTTCAGCAAAACTGCAATCCAACACCTTGGATCGAACTAGGGAGGTGAGCATAGTTTTTCTTTGTATTTTTTTTTTTGCAAAAATCAAAGAGAGAATTGATCAAGATCAATCCCAAAAGTGGAGGTCGAATTACGGTTTCTTGGGCGGCAAGAGCAGAAGAGAGAACTGAAAGCAGAGTGATCTGAAGCAGTTTGATCTCTCTTTCTCTTAATCCTTAAGCAGCACCACTCCTAACCGAATTAAGAGGTTTGATCCAAATCTTTATTTGGATATGGACTCTACCAATAGATAGGTTTTATCCTTTTATGAGAATGGATGCTCCAAACCCATATCCATACCCATATTCGCCCATGTCACATGATAGTTTAAGCAGTCATGTGACATCTTGATTAACCATGGGCTTTAAGCCCATTAACTAAGTAGCTCACGTCCCAAGTGTGTTATTGGCCCATTTAGGTTTGATTTGTATGGTGTGGGACCCCAACAGTGACCTCACATAAGATCACATGGATTTGGCCCAGCCTCTGTGAAAAGGCTTGGCCAAATTCACTACCAAATGCAGTGAACCCCTGAGCTCATCACTATGGGCTCAAAATGGGCCCAACATTTACAATTAAATGATCCCAGAGTCTAACCATCTTATGAAGGCACAAGGATAATGGACTTAAGTAAGATATAGCCCATCAGGTAATCAGCCATTAATGGTCTCTTATACTTAACCTCTCAGCCCATAATGATCAAACACTACTTAATGGAGAAGGTCTTCTCCCCTGACTGCAAGATGCAGTGTCACACTCTTTACTAGCAGTTTTGGTTTCCATCAGAGATAGTGTATTCCCAATCATTCACTTTGTTCGACAAAGGAGCCGATCCTATTACTATAATCACCCACTCAAGTGAATTCTCAAACTGCCCTAACATACCTAGGTTTTGACACCCAAAGGATCTCACTAGTTGGCATATCAAAGACAGTCCAATCCAACACCTAGTGCAGTACCATAATAAAGTCTAGGGGTTATGCGTAATTTTCCAGTTTTGTCCATCAATCTTTAAGGTCTAGGGCATAACTGGAAAATGGTCCAGGTTTAATGCTTCAACCAAACACACACTATACGTGCTTCGAGTCTAACCTTAGTAGTTAAGACAAGCTGCCCCAACTTCTTTGGCAACACATTAGTGTCAGCCTTGATAGGATAAACTCCCTAAATCTATCCAATGGCTGAGAACATTCTAAGCTAACACGAGTCTCATCCAGTTTAAAGGATAAATTCGTAGAAATATACCAATGACAACATAAAACAATAATGTACTTTTATTCATTTACAATAAATGTATATGTACATCAATTTGATTGGAGCTATGGGCATACACTGTCTAATAGTATAGGTATGTATAAATATGTATTTTATTAATAAAAATGTATAATTTTTTAGATACAATATATATATATATATATACATGTATACATAAATATTAATTTATGTTTAGTTTATATTTTTAATTTTTATTTGTAAAAAATTCTAAGAATTGCAATTGAAAGCCTAAAAAAGGCTTTTTTTCCAAAAATAACAGGGCAAGGCACCTTTGACACCTTGAAACACACAAATCTTGAAAAGTTACCAAAATAAAAAAAAAATCCCAATTGGGCATAAGAGTGCAAAGTTATGACCTCTAGAAGTTGCACATACATTGAATGTACAACATGTGACCCAATGACTTTATTGAACGAATCAATAGTCAAAACCGCTTGGGTTAGACGATTTTTGACTAACAGATGGGTTTTAGCAAAACTTGACCTAGAATCAAGTCCAGGTGACAACTCAACAGTTCAACCGGACAGGTTGAAAACAATATTTGTAAGTGGTGGATAGGTTTTAGTAAATGCATGAAACTAGTGCAAATGAATGATAGTGCAAAATGAGAAAGTTGTAAATATTGTTTTAGTTTTGCTAGCTTTCAGGTTTTATTTTGTTTTACTTCAATTTCTATTTTTCTTCGTTTTTATTATAAATAGATAGAACAAAGTAAACTTATAACAAACTCAAACCAAAATGTTGACTCAACTCATTTGCAGTCCCACACATTTGCACCAATGCAATTGCAAGCAAAGGAGGAGTTAGTTACATTAACTTATTTGTATAATAAATTTTTTATAAATATATTTTTATAATAACTATTTTTAATAATTATTTATTCATTTTAATTGAATGTTATTGAGATGGCTGTAAGTATTTTTAATCACGGTCAATTTTAACAGAGGCCCTTATTATGGCTCCAAATTATTAAACATCTAATATCACAAGAGACTAGTGGGGAAGTTAGAGGATTTTAGGATTCCTCCTACTTTAAATATAAATCCATTTTTTGACTCTAAGGGACCGTTAATTTTTTTTTGGATTTTGAAGGGTGAAAG